AAACGTGCTGGAGAGTCTGCCACCCCCTGCAGCCGCAGGTGACTGCACCGCTGCTAGCGTGGCGGTGACACTGCAGCGGCAGTGCGGGCGTGGGGGCGGGGTGCGGCTCACCGCTGTCCCAGCAGGAGCTGCGCGGCGACAACTTAGGTGGGACAGAGAGGGCGCCCTTTGTTTCCCTTTGGGGCGCTGGTGGGGGGTGAGGCTGGCGGAGGGGTGGGAGGGAAGCTAGAACTGTCTCTGGCTGACGGGCCCAGGGAGCCAGACCTTAGCTTCCTAATTCTTTCTTTAAAGCACTTGCTAGACGGAGAAAGTGAGCCGAAAATCAGTTGAGCAAATGGTAACGGGCAAGAATCATAACCGGGGAGCGCGGGGCCTGGTCCGCTACTTCACTCGGCGCGAGGCGGCCCCTGCGGGCTGACCCTGGTCTGGCGGGAAGATGGCTGCTTCCCGCGGCGGGGCCTTCTGGCCTGATGGAAGGCCGCCCCGGCCGGACCGGGCCCTCGTGCCCGCTGGGGCTGCCCTCGGAGAGTCAGGTGGAGTTGTACTGGAGGGAGAGCGGTGTTAAACAGTACGGTAGACAAAAGGGGGTTAAAAATCTTATTTCCGGGGCTTTGCACTTGAAATGATTGTGTTCTGTGTATCTGGCTCTTCAACATCTCACCAAGGGGAAGAGCCTGTTTAAGGAGCTCTTTTCAGGATTGGTCCAGATCTCAAAAATCAGCGGGGTCATGACTCCTATTCCGTTCGCCATTTCCCACAGAAACTCTGGGGTTTGCTTCAGCTCCTGCAGACTCGTCCTTGCTGGGATTCGGGCTCCGAGATGATTGGTTTGGCAGCCCTGGTGCGGGGCTCTCTGGGTTGAGCTCTGTAGGGAGGGGGTTAGTCTACTTCCGAAAGCCTTGTGTCCTGCCTCGCTCCAGCCTGCACGCGCGCTTGTCCTTGAAAAACGCGGCTCTGCTGAGTGTGCGGGCTTTCAGGCTGAGGGTTGTTTACCGTGGGCCAGAGCTGAGCGGCTTCTGCCCACCCGCCCTTCCCAGCCGGCCTCGAGGCGAGGCCCGATACAGAGGGGCTCTGGGGGGCTGGGCCTGCTTTGGGTTAATGGGCCATGTGGACAGAGCCCTGGGCGCTAATACCTGGTGAGTCTGGAGCGAGGATGACGGCCTATTTTGGTCATTTTCCTGAAGTGGTCCCAGGAACTGACCTGGCGTCTTGTGGCCCGCAGATGACCTTGGACCCCATCAGACCCCATCAGACCCCCTGGGGCGCAGTGAGTGCATCCTCGCTGGAGCTGGTGCTGCTGTGCAAGGGAGTAGCTGAGTGCCACTGGCCACTGATCGCACGCTTCCCCGATCCCTCTGGCTCTGCCGGCTGCTGTGCCCTTCTGAACTGAGGGTGCCCAGGCGTGTCTGGTGCACCCAGGTACACCGGGCACAGCCCCCATCCCGCCCTTTCTTCCTTCTTCCTCTCCTGTGGCTCGTGGCACAGTTAACTGTTTCTGCACGGAAGACCTCTCCTGGGCTCTTACCAAGCCAGTGCCCCTCGGTCCTGCACGCTCAGGTGAACAGCCAGCATGGGCCTGGCCGTCCTCTGCTCAGTGCAGCTGGAAGCATTTGCTTGGCACCAGCTCAGGCCCAGAGAGAGGTCAGGGGACCTGACTGAGCTTACAGAGTTCATTGTGGACAGGATGGGCCAGGAATGATAAGGATTCCAGTCTGGTGGGGTGCAGTCTGGTGGCCAGGTCTCTCCAGCCACGCAACTTTGGTGCTCCAGTGGGGAGATGGCAGTGGCTCAGAATTTGAAGTTCTCCTTGCCCTCGGTCGTGAGGCGACCTCAGGAGAGCTGGGGCTGTTCTTTGGAGGGCTTTGCTTCTCAAGGAGCTGCGCGATCCGGTCAGTGCTTTGAGCTGGTGAACTCTTTTCCACCTGGTGTCCCTAAACAGGCAGTTCCTTCTCACGTGGAGAGCCCCTTGGAGCCTCGTCTCTGCTGTTAATACTTCCAGGCAGCCGCTCTGACTGCCCTCCCCAAGCCTGCGTGCACTGCCCCTGGGCACTTGACCGTGCCTGGAACGCCTGCCCTGACTGCCCTCTCCCCGTTGTTACTGTGTCTGCGTGCTGACGTGGCCTCCCTCCCACTAGCTGGTAAGCGCTTTGAGGGCGTGGGCTAGCTCATATCCCTCTTCACATGCTCCACAGATGGCCTGGCGCTTGGCTTACGGTAGTCACTCAATAGTTTGTTGATTGAATGAGTCAGTGCATATTAATTACAGCTCTCTTGTTGATGCCAGGAAGAGGAAACAAGACAGATATCTTAATACTTTCATTTCCAAAATGTCTAATCATAATTTCAGAACTCAAGTCCTTTAACAAAAAAGCTCTGTGCACATAAACAGTGTGCTAATAGTCTGCATGCACAGACCTTCCCAGGCTCTGTCTGAGGAGGGCATGTTCCCTCAGGTCACCTGTTCTTCGCTTCCTCTGCGGCGTCTAGTCCTGAGCATGGGGTCCGTGGAGTCTCCTCTCCGGCACATCTTCCAGTCACTGGAAAGGGCCTAACTCTGTGAAGATGGTGCAGAAATCACGGATGGGTGAGGAGTGGTAACACGCGCGTCATCGTACGGGTCTAGGCTCTGGAGTCTGATTGCTTGGTGGCAAGTTATTTAGCATCCTCGAAGCTTGGTGTCCCCACGTGTCAGCTGGAGGTGAGCCTCTTGGAATGCCCAGAGTTGTTCCGAAGGTTGAGTGAGAGTCTGTCTCACTGGGCGCAGCCTGGATGCTCCAGGACTCCAGCTGTTCCAATGGTCCTTGTGGTTGCTACACCCCCGACGTCCTGCGGACCAGCCGGCCAGGTGGTTTTGTGAGGTCACACACTTACTCCTCGTTGGGCCTGATGGGACGTTGGTTAATATTCGGTATTAGTCCCTCAGTGCTGCCTCATGTTTAGGGAAAACAGATTATCAGATGCTCTCTTAGAAGGTGCCAGTATCTTTTAGTTTTATGACTTCCCTTTTATTGACATGGTGTATTACATGGATCAGATGCAAAGGGGCAAAATGTTTTCATTTTACAATGAAAATCAGACATGAATGAATTCCTTGCACTGTTTCAGGATAATGATGATCTGAGCAGAGGCGTGTTCGCACGTTCACACGCATGCAGCTGCTACAGTAGTAGAACGCCACTGTTTAAAGCATTTTTAATCATAAGAGTTAGACGTGGTATATTGAAATAAAATGGTGCGTCAGGAAGGGAGAGCATCTCACAGGAACTGACTCTCGTGGGAACAGTGCCTTATTGTCTTCCTTTTGCTGTGTGAGGTGGGGCTGCCTGGAAGGAACTAGCTTATTTCAGATGTATCTGCCACTAGCGACTCACAGGTCATTGGATCCAAAACATAATTTGTAATTTCTCTTTATATTTTTCCATACACTGTTCCACACTCTGTTAAATACTTTCGCAGGTCCAGAGAGATATTCTGCAAACTGTAAACACAAAATATTTGTTGCCTTTTGGGCTTATAAAAGACTCAGGACTACCCATTTGTAAGCACTCTCTTTGTGCCTCACCTTGGAGCACTCGCTTTATTAGATTTATGTGCTTTATGCCTTCTTTTGACTGCAGCACAGTCTGATTTGCGAGAGTTGCAAAATTAGTTGTTTAAAAAATCCATGTAAGTGCTTTTTTATTAGTCACATGAGACTGACTGTAGCACAATGTTGTCCTTAGTTTTTTTCTAAACTCTTAAATGTAAGTAAATTTTTTAATATTCGGAGATATTTTGAAAGCAGCTCAATATTTGGTATGTGTTGATGCAAGGTCTACACAGAGTGTAGCGCTGTGTGAGGAAACAGAAAATGACTGAGCGCGAGGGGTGTGAGCGGCGTCCCCGGTAAACCGTTGGGTAGTCGTGTTAAAGCAACAGAGCAGTCGTAGAAATTGACGCTGCTGTGGTGTGACCATAAAATTCTGGATTTATGCTCAGCTTAGGTATTGTTATTCTTGGTGAGGTAAGCAAGGCAGGAAAGGAAATAAGGAAAGATCATCCTGTTGCCTTGATTCTGGGGCACAGCATTCCATGCCTGCTTGGAATCAGGAGCATTTGTGGAACTGGCATGTTTTTCAGACTGTTGTGTTATCTCGATTGCTTAGCTGTCTCTCTGAGGCTTGGGTAAGTACAGCAGAAATACTTTGTTGAAGCAGAAATATTTGGGATGTGTGTGGACTTCTCAGTTTTCCGGATGGAGCTCCGCGCAGTTAGGCAGGAGAGAGCTGGATGATTTCGGCGGATGTCAGACAGGTCATCGGTAGCACCCCTACTCTTATTTTGAGAGTCAGGACCCTTCACTGAATAGAATTCTTTCCCCCTCAATCCATGCCCACATCCAGATACCCAGGTTCACATTTTTAAAGTGGAGTAAGTTTTTGCTTGCATTGCGCTCTTTCAGGTTAATTGGAATTCGGACATTGGTTTAGCTGACCTACCCTTTCTTCGTGTCTCTGTGTCAGGACTAGCTTTGTTTATTCTTAAAGTGTTTTGTGTATTACGTGTCGTGTCACTCAGTGTTTTGTACCATTACTACGAGGCAGGGCCTGGTCGAACACCCCACTCCTTTGGCAGCACTTCCTGCGAGAGCCGAGCGAGCGGACATCCTCTCAGACGCCCCCCAGGTGCTGAGGCGGGGAGACGCTCCTGCTCTGACCTGCCTCCCCTCTGCTCTTGGTCTCGCAGGCATCCTGGAGTTCATCAGCATAGCGGTGGGCCTGGTCAGCATTCGAGGCGTGGACAGTGGACTCTACCTCGGCATGAACGAGAAGGGGGAGCTGTACGGATCAGTAAGTACCGCGGGGCCGCGGCCGTCTCCCTGGGGCGGCACCTTCTCTAGGTTATAAATTGCTGGAAATGAAACCGTGTTGGGAAGGCGAGTGTGAGTTTCCACTTTTGGGGGAAACCATTTCATTTTTACTGTTTGATGATCAGCCCTGGACCGTCACTCGACCAACTTTCTAAGAAGATGCTGTATTTCTCTGCCAAACCATTTTCATTATCAAGTAAATAAAAAATTCACGGCTGTGAAAAATCCCATCTTCTTGCATTGAATGGGAGTTATTTTTGAAATGAATTGAAATTACCTTTTCCCAAGCTTTGCCAAGCATTGTGATTAAAACTAGAAATAGACCACGCAGTGAGCATAAACCTTTTCTCTGAGCCACAGGAGATTTTCATTACGTAGAGAGAGACGGGGGATGGAAATTATTGTCAGAGATTCTTGTGTGTGAATAAGAGTATAAAAATGCAATCATTGTTTGCAAGTATTATGAGTTTCTCTTTTTCCTTGTCCCCTGGGTTAGAAGCTCCTGGGGGAGGTGGGGTGGGGGCACTGATTGTAGCCTGCCAGGTCCGGGCCCTGTTCTGGGGGCTGGGGGACAGCAAGGATGTGACAGAGCCCCCCATCTGCTTTGAGAGGAGGGGGTCGACTGGACATTTTTGTATCTTTACTCAACAGTTTCTAAAACACAGGGCATGGTGCGTGGTAGGAACTTGATACGTTTTTGCTAAAGGTATGAGTATGAATAATAGGTCATCAGTCACCATATCTAACTTGAGTTTTTAACAAAAGATTTGTAGTGAAATCACTCTTTAGTTTTCATTTCCATTATTGGTGGTCAAGTGGGAATTTTATCCATGCGTCCAACATGAGAACTTTGGTTAGAATCTACAAAAAGTTGACAATTACAAGAAGCTTGGACTGGGAGAAGTTCTGGAGTCATCTGTTGTCAGAAGCGAAGGGCACTGTCACCGTAGAAGCCGGAGACATTTTTTCTAGACACACTCTTTTCCTATCCATGTACCGGCAAACACGTAAGTGTGCGTGCGCGCGGGCTGGAAGTCACAGCGACCTTTCACTCAGGACTCTGGGGGCTGAGTGGTGGCCTGTGTTGTCTGGATGTAGCTCTCACCATTTTTGGTCACACAAGGATGGTTTTCCTGCCTTGGTGAAATCTGAATGTACATTGGTTGATTTTGTTAGATATTTGTATTCTTAAAAAATGCTTCCTTGCGAGAATACATTATTTTATAATATGTTTTTAAGCATAGGGTGGAGTTTAGCTTTTTACAGAGTTCTTGGTTTAGATGAAGTTGTCTCCTTCCTAAACGATCTCTGTCGACACTTTCGAGAGTGAAGGGACAAAGTATCAGGAGCTTGTAGGTTTTAAACCATGGCATGATGCCCTCCTCGTCAGCCCTCACCTGCTTCCTCGCCTCTCGGGGTGCAGCATGTCGCGCCATGAGCCCAGGAGAGCGCTGGCCGTGCTCGGGCGCAGCCTGCCCTTTGGTGGGTGGAAGGGCTGTGGTTCTGCACAGTGGGCTTCAGATGTTTTTGAATATGGATCTCAGCACTGCCTGCTAAATTATTTGAAAATTGTACATATGAAATGTGGTTCGTGTATGCTGTTATTTTAGGAAACACATATTAAAGGTTTGTAAAGGAAGTGAGGAGTGAGTTGTCACAGACAGAGGCCCTCGCGCCGGAGGAAAGATGGGACACTTGGTGTCTGGCAGGGCCTCAGCCCGGTGCTCGGGCTCAATGGTCGGCTGAGCCTGGACCCCGTCGGGTGCCTCCCAGGGATGCTGGCCCCTTCGTCTCCCTGCCTCCTCCTCGGCGGCCCCCACTGGGGGCAGGGCCAGGGCTGAGGGGTCCCTGACTAGACCAGGTGAGGCCCAGTCCTGCCTGGGGTGGTGGCCGTGTGGCTGGCGAAGCCGGTCTGGGTGTGTTTCTGGGAGGCCCAGCTGTGTGCTCACGTTTATCGTGCATCCCAGCTGCGAGCGAGGAGGTGGGGCTCGGCCCTGAGGAGCCCAGCTACGGCAGGACAGGCTCTTGGTCCTCTGGGCCCAAGAAACGCATCGGTCCCTTCTCGCCTGAAGGGTCTCCTCAGCTTGGTAGCTGTGGTTGGAAAGTTACCAGGAGTGTTTTCCATCTGTCATTGCCTTTGTGGAGAAAGGTCTTAAGTGGCTTCTCTGCCCCCAGCGTCTCCCGTCTCCAGCCTCCGGCCGCACTGCCAGGAGGCCCCCCGACCCAGACGTGAGCCAGAATCTCTTCAGGCACTGCTTCTGAAGGCCCCACCTGCCCTTGTCTTGGTCCAGCGCTTTCCCCAGACCGCGTGGCCTGGATCTGCTTTGCTGGAATCAGCTCTTGTCCTCCTTGTCTGATGCGTGCACGTGGTCAGGGGGACCCTCTGGCCGTCCACCCCTCCCTCCTAGACTGGAGGGGACAGGCTTCCTTAAGATTCCGTGAGAGCTGCGCTTCTCAGGCAAGACCCTCACCCCACCCCTGACTTGAACCCCAGTTTCCGGTTAGTGTTGCTGGTGATTTCCGTGGGCCCCAGTGAAGCTGTTCGCATTTCCATCACACGCGCGTCCCCGCAGACTCGCGGCGTGGTCGGCTGTGTGTTCCCTGATGTGTCGAAGGGCGCAGCTGGCAGGCTTCTTTGTGGTGTTGCCCACATGTGGCGAGGGCCGTGCACATGCTGGCTGTTTGGTGAGCCCTCGTGGGGCTGCCGTGACCCTGACATGGTGCTGATGCACGTGCTTCATCAGGCCCCAGGCGTGCCCTGGCCATGGCTCACGTGCGTGGTCGTGTGTCCTTAGGGCTCTGCTGGAGGGAGGAAGCCCTCTCTGCCGTTGCGTGCTGGCTTGGACTGGGACGTGTCCTCCTGGGTGGGTAGGGGGCGGGTCCCGCCTGGGGGTGTGGCTGGGGCTGGACAGGAAGATTGTGTGGCAGGCCTGGCAGGTGAGGGCGGGTACCAGCATCAGGAGACAGGTTGATCCTTCTGTCCTTCTGTCCCTGCCTCCTCCTTCCCACCTGTGAAGCGAGAGCTGGACGAGGTGTCCGGACCATCCTGTCCTACTCTGCATCTCCGGAACCTGTGGTTTGGATTTTCCCAGCTGCACTCTCGAGTCCTGTCTTCCTGGCCCATGATGCTCTCTGTGTGCCCAGGTGTCCGTGACAGGGTCTCTGTGCCTCCCCTGCTTGGAGCCGCCGGCCTGGGTGGCCCCGGTCTGGGCCTCGTGCAGGTGCGGGGTTGCTGGGGCTGAGACCTGGCTCTCTGGGCCCAGCAGTCACACTTCCCGCAGGCTCGGGGTTGTCGTGCCTGGTGTGGCCGGACGCCAGGTGAGGTGGAGAGAAGGGCAGAAAGACGCAGGCAGCGGCTCTGGTGTTAAATACACTGGAACCCATAGCCAGAAGAGCTCCCGGTGTGAAGCTCAGAAAAGTGGAGAAGGTTTGCGTCTAAACACTGGGGAACCTTGAAAAGACGGATCTCACTGGGAAAGAAGGTAAGCAGAGATTTGGGGAGGTCACCGCCACTTTTATAAAGCAAACGAGCGTGTCCGTGTAGCCAGAGCTGATGTAAAATGCATTCGGGATTATTCGTCTTCCATCTGTGTAGTTCGTTTCCAGTTTACAGTAGGCTTAGCTGTAAGATGTCGGAGGTGGGTGGGGTAATATTTCTTCAAAAAATGTGTAGAATTCCGATATCCCAGCAGATTGTGGAAACAGGAAAAACCGTACGGCTGATGTGGATCATGAGAGGGTTTAAGGAAAACTCAGATGATTCTAACCCCGGGGTGGAGACTGGTTATTGTGCTTCTGTTAATTCATCTGTGCAGCTGGTCATTAATTTGCTTATTCATTCACTAGCATTTCTCTCAAATGTGCCTAGAATTGTGCTGAGTGCAAAACAATGCAACTAATCTCTCAAAATCTTATGGGAAAAATGTACTTATGAATGAATAATTCAGTGTGCGATGCACTATATTAGAGGAGTCACAGGTGTCTTGGGCGTCCAGAAGCGTGTTTAAATAACTGCCTGGGGAAATGGGGCGGCGGCACGTAACTGGGTCTTGAGGGATGCGTAGGAGTCTCAGGAAAGGGAGGGCAGACGGGGAAGGGCCACATGAGCTTTTGAGCGTAGAGATGAGAATACCCTGCCTGGGTGAAGCTTAGAGAGGCTGTTAGGTCTCACACGCACGCGCACGTGCACACGCACACACACGCACACACATGCACACGCACGAGTGTGTACTGGGCAGAGGACCACAGTGTGAGAGCATTAGTTTACACTTGTCACTTTTGTTCTTATCAGAGAGACTGGAAGTAAGGCTCAGTTGCTTTGAGGGTCTTAATCTAAATTATCTGAGTATTATCAAGACACTTCCGAGTGTTAAGAGTAATTGACTGTAATAAATATCTCTTTAAAAAAGAATGCCACAAAGAATTAATCTCTTTCAGGAAGCCTGCATTTAGTGAGAGACATTTGGCCTTTTCATTAACAAAGTTCAGTGCAGTCACTAAAATTGTAATGACAGAGGAAGGTCAGCGTGGGGCCTGTAAGCAAGGTGACAAGGCCGGCACACGGACTTCTGCCTTGTGTCCCTCTCAGCACTTGCTTTATTCTGTCCAGAGTTTTCATTCCTGTTGGTCTTTCCCACTGGATTAAGGGGTGAGTCTCTGTCTTACAGCCTTTCTGGTCCCCGGGGCCCCTGGCACGCGTCACGTGCAGTGGGCGCAGGGGGTCTGTGGGAGGGTCACGCGTCAGTGGCGCTGCCTGGGGTGCAGCTGCCGCCCTGGGCGTGCTGTGCTCCCGCGGGCGTCACCTCATCTGGCTGTCAGGGCTGAAGGGAGGGGTGGGCTGCCTTCTCCAGGCCTGGTGCTCGTGGGTGGCAGAGCGCGGACGCGGACCCACGCTCAGGGCCCAGCCACCATCCTGACCGATGCTGGTCACACAGGCGTGGGCCTCTGGTTTGCTGCTTATGTTTCCGGAGGCACAACTGG